ATCTATGCTTGGTCGACTTCAAACGCATCGCTTACTTCAGGTTCTTTTTTTAGGTGGTCAGTTAAGAAGATAATAATAATAATTACAAAAACGAACATTTCTATACATGTATGGCCTATACAAATTGTTCTAAGAGGTTTAAAATTCTCAACCTATGTTTCTAGTGTTAAATCACAAAAGAGAAAAAAAAAAGACAGAAATAAAGCTGACTAACAAAAATTAATTAAAATATACCTTTAAAAAGATGCGTTTTCAGCTTAGTCTGAAAAATGCTTATACTGTCTATCCCACGTAATTCAGATAGAACTTTGTTCCACAGCTTGGGACCACAAACAGAAAAAGACCTCAGTCCATAAGACTTCATATTATACCGAGCCAGGTTCAGTCTAATCGCATCAGTGAAGGAGCGCAGTGATGCTTTAGACTTGTAGACCATCCAATAATTCTTGTAAATAATTAGGGGCTAAATGCTTGGATGCACTATACAACAAAAAGTTGCAATTGTCTGTTTTACAGAGGCACCCATCGACGGTTTCCCCCTAAATACATTTAAAACACTTTTTAGGCTATCCAGAGTACTTTTAGATCTCTAGAGATGCGTTCTAAGCGACGTTGTAGAATTTGAATCTCTTCGGTCATCCTAGGGCAACTTTAGTCTTTGCGAAATTACAAGGGCTTCAGTATTATTTTCCCGAAACTTTTAGATGCAATTTAAAGATTTACGAAAGAGAGAATTTTTCTGATTCCTCTCTCCATCACATTTTTAATTCCGAAAATTGTAGGTTTCCTTTCTTCAACGAAAAATAGCCTGACCTGGATAGTGAAATGTAAAAAAGTATACGAAAATCGTAGGGGATTAATTAGATAAGCCTCGAAAATTGTACATGAATTGAACTGCATCATCTAGAAATGTTTAACTGTCCTCAAGCTATAGAAAATTCTAGGCAATATTTGCTTCTCTGAACAGATATTTTACAGAAAACAGTCGTTGGGTGCCACTGATTTTAGATAGAACTAACGCGACAAGATGACCGATTTTATAGCATATGTAGCGTAATTTGGAACCTTGGGGTGTGATAGCAGACTCTACAAATGTAATTACTAAGAGCCGAAACGACCTACATTGATTCACAGCAGCCCTAAATGAGCCAAGTCGACATGAAGTAAAAGTAAAAGTAAAATGTTCAGGATAAAAGTGTTAAAAAAACAAACCGACCTGCAAATTCTTTGCTTCTTTTTTTCTTATACGAAGTTAAGAAACTATCCTGGGCACGTAAAACAAGCGAACTGCACGAAAATCCAGAGCTGACGTGATTTAGGTAGAACTTTTGTAGTTTCGAAAGAGCATTGCATTATATAACATACTCAAACCCAAATGGTCCGGAAAAAAACCTTAACAAAGCATTAAGTGACTAAGATATAGTTAGTAGGTCAATTTGTACATAGTTTGATTTCTAATGACCATCGTGATGAGGTTTTCTTGATTGACGGCAGAACTGCGGTGGCCATTCTTGCATGGTAGGGTGATGGCCGTGTTGAAGAGAAGGAAGCATAAAATGGAATTTAAGGACTGTCAGTCGGAACGAAAAGGATTGGCCTTTGTAGAAAAGGACTGAGACGCTACTTAGTTGGGTCCGTGCACACTTCGGCCAATCTAATTTTTCATTTTTTCAACAAAAACGGAAACAGGAAATATAACTTATCCTTGTCATATTTACATATTTAAAAGTACAGACAAAAATAGAAAAAAAGAAAATGGTCAGGAAAGTTGATCATTTTTCATTTTTCTAATTTTGAAGTCCGCTTCAAAAATACAAAAAATACGGTAAACGGCTAAAAGCGATATTTTGCTATTTTTTATTTTCTTGCTATTGTTAGAAAATGAGGAAAATGAAATAATGTCCGATTCCTAACTCATTTTTCTATTTTTCCGTTTTTCGCCAAAAATGGAAAAACAGAAAAATGAAAAAAATCATATTTATTCCCACCATTTTTTCATTTTTTCCATTTTGTTCAAAAAAATGAAAAAATAGAAAAATAGCGTACCTATCGCCCAATTTTCCATAATGCCATTTTAATAAGAAAAATGAAAAAATGACAAGTGTATTTTTTTTATTTATTTAATAAATAGTAAAACTTTAAAACGATACACCCTTTCAGACATTTTTTCACTTTTTATTTTATTGAAAAATGGCGCAGAAAAGTGAGAAGTTATGAATATTTTAACGGTGAATAAGAGACTCGCTAATTTGGTTAGAAGATTTACCCAGGGTCGGCGGAGATGTGGGGGAATTTGGGGGGGGGAGGGCCTAGTTTTCGAGATGCGGACGTAGTTCCATTCACTTTTGATCTCGATTTCCCTGAAGGTTTGAGTTGTCAGGGGTCGACTGTGGATGAAAGCGGCGGGAAAACCGTACCGTACCGGCCGTGGAAATGAAGGATATTAGAAAGGGTACGAGGGGGGAGGAGAAGGCGTGAAAATTGGTACGGGAAAAGGGGGGGGGGG